CTGCTTGTTCCAGTAGCAAATAAATAACCATCAGTGATTTTGCATGAGATTCATGTCTTAGAAAGTGTAGCTACGTTGAATGCATATTAAAAGGAAAACTGAATGTTCTCCATCTTTTTTCTGGTTGCTTTGGTGAAAATTTGAATAGAGATGGAATTAATTTTAATGTCTAGATGGAGATGAGAGCACAAAATCAAAGCAATATTCTTTTACAGTTCTTGTAAGTCCTAAAGTTGTCACTAAATAATAATTTTTAATGGAACAAAAGAAAATATTTTATCCTCAACAATAAAAAGATAGCTAGGAAAGTTAGAATTAAACATTAAACATATTAGGAGACACCTAAATTATTAGAAATGAAACTTATGAGACAAAAATAACTCAAATCAGTATGTACATTTTAAAGACTAAATGTTTAAACAAGAATAAATTGTCAACATACTTGTATCAAAATTTCATTTGATATTAGACTATGGAATAGTCAACAAAATAATATTTTAAGCTGAGTGGATTCAATTCCATGTTTGAGATTTCCCACTAGTAAGTCATTAAATAGTTGGAGATGCAATGAGGATGAGGTTTCATTAAAACAATTTTTTGCCATGTCCTCAAGTTACCTTCTGGGAAAAAGAAATTACACGTATTATTCTGACTTTGAGAAAGATTTATTACTGCTGGACATCCATATTTTTTTGAAAAAAATCTACATACCTATTACATAGATAAGGGAGATGGAGTCTTTGTGCCATTCTATTGCTAAGAGACTTGTCCTTCCATATTAATTGATAAATTTACAGCCCCAATTACTCAGTGGACTGAAGACCAGATGTCATTTGTGACCCATGAAAAAGTTGATTCAAGTGTAGGTTATATATGGATAATAATAAATAAGGTCACTTAGTAGAGAACTAGAAATTTTCCATAATAATAAATATGTAATAAGACCAAAATGATTGACTCAACACAATGGGCTACAGTTGGAGCTGGTTTTTACTCAGAGTTGAAAATAAAAGTTTCTGTTGGTAGGTGTTAAAAGAGCCTTTTGAGTTCTTGTCCAGTATTGTAATTATAATAAACTGGACATAAATTACAAAAAAAACCACCAAAATTATAGATTTGCAAAAAGGCCAAAACTCTAATCATGGTATCTAAATGGTCATAATATAGAGCAGGTAACCAACTTCAAATAGCGGTGGTCATTCAAGCCACTGGCTCAAGAAAGTACATGGTGAATATGTGGCTGCCTTGAGCCAAAGATCAGCAAGCGCCATCCTTAATTTTTTCTGCACAAAGGGAGGATACTATGTTCCTGCCGCAATTAAGCTTTTTCTGGTCAAGTTGATAGCACAGCTTCTTTACAGGACCTTGCTCGGACCGTCAGGTTCATTTTTCACACCATTGGAAAGAGTTCAATCCAAATTTATTAGAGCAATTCTCCAGATGCTGCATTGTGTATAAAATATGCTTCTGTGCCTGGAGACACGATTTACCAAAAGTCGAAGCAAGAATCTGTATAGCGTCTTTAAATCTCTGGCTGAAGCTTAACTTCTTTCCACAAGGCCTTGCTCCATTAATCCTCCAAGACAAATTCTCCTCATCATGGATCAAGACTGTCAAATCTAGCCTTGCCAAACTAGGCTTCTCCCCAGCCTCAATACTAAGCTGAACTACGACCAAGCAAAACAAAACTTGCGAAAAAGGGTAGAGGACATTGAAAGGCAAACAGACTTAGGGAAATCTCTGTTGTTTCTGGCTTCCAGACATCATTAGATATATTGTTACTCCTACAAGCTATCTTAAACAGTTGGAGTTGGCAAATCATTGGAAAGCATTTTTTCTCACATGGTGCCATGCACTTCCATTGGCCATCTGGTATGGCAAGTATAAAAAGATACCATTGACTGAAAGACTCTGTTCCTGTGACTCAGGAGAGGTGGAGACTGTGGGTCACATACTCCTTCAATGTTCCTTTTACAGAGAGATTCAGAAAAAAAACACATATCCTTCCAATAATTGCTAGATATCCTGGTTATTCATTCAACACTGCTTATTTCCAGTGGCTGCTTAAGGAAGAAGAGTCTGTAACTACAGCACATGTGGCTAGATTCTGCACAGCAGCACTGGGGAGTCATTGGAAACATGTGTCTAATCCACCATAGCTATTTTAATGTGGCAAGTTCTTTGCACTTATTCCTTTGCATTTTAGTATTAAACTGACTCTGGGCCTCATAGTGTATGGATTGTTATTTTAGTATAGTTAGACCATAGACAGACTGGATTTTATCATAGATTTTAAGTGTTATGTATTATTTTATTCTAGAATTTTTAATTGGATATTCCCTGAGTGTTTTTATTTGTTCTGGTCTCTGATCTATGACTGTAATAAACTGAATTAATTAATTGACATATTTTATCATTATAAAGATGTCTGCTTTTTAAAATGTCTGATTAAGAATGTCACAGCATTCTTAATGGTATTGCTTGTTCTGAATTAATCTACAGTATTTTAAATCAGTCTAAAACTCATTATATATATGTTTCATATATATGCATAGACATGCAGTATATATGCATACTGTACACAAATATAGAATATACACACATAGATCTATATATACCTGTGTATATATAAGTACATATTTGTATACTCTGCTGAAGTAGACAATGGTGCCTTCTTAATTTATTTTATACAGCATATTTTAATGCCATACAAATGAAATAGGCCACAAACCTCAAGTATTTAGTTTTCTTTTTGTTTCTAAAACACATTTGCAGTTACAACAGCAAGAAAACAAGTAGTGAAAGTGAGCTGGTAAAAGTATACTGTTTAACCTCTTTGAACGAAGAAATAGCACAGCTGGAAATCACTCTAAAAGCCTATTGCAAATCTTTTACAACAGAAATGTTGGAACAGCAGGTTCCAACTAGTTCTGGAGAACTGGTAGCAGAAATTTTGAATAGTTTGGAGAACCAGCAAATACCACCTCTGACTGGCCCAGCCACCACCTATTCTCTGCCTCCCGAGTCCCAGCTGATCGGCTGGGTCTTCTTTTGTTGCCCTGCCCAGGAGAATGGAGCTGGAAAGCAGGTTAGTGGGGTGGTGAGGAAATGGGATTTTGCAGTAACCTTCCCCCGGAGTTGAGAGGGAATGGAGATTTTACAGTATCCTTCCCCTGGAATGGGGTGGGAATAGAGATTTTGCAATATCCTTCCCCTGCCATGCCCACCAAGCCACACCACACCCACCAAGCCATACCCATAGAACCAGTAGTAAAAAAAAAATTTGAATCTCACTACTGCTTTACAAGCATTTACTTATAGATTTAGGGACAGTGTAGGTAAATGCAGATCATGAAATATTTAGACTGAGTAGTTATTTTATATTTGTTTTTGTTGATAGTGATAATTCCTTTTTATTTATTTTTTAATAGTATGTTAATTATTATTTTAGTAATAAAAATGTGCATACTCCCCATTTACAGAGGAAGCATTTCTAGAATGTTTGTCTACTTGGTTGAATGAAACTGACAAAATGTGACAACTATCGCAATCAGTTGAGGATAAAAATAAATTAGCCTGTTCAATGGAACAAATTGGGCTACCTCTGTTATATTCTTCCAGAGTGATCAAGTGATGACAGGAAAGTAATAGGTGAGACAATAATAATAGGTGTGATTTAAGAAATGTCAATGTATTGTTAAATATCTGAGGGGAATGGAAAAATAAAACTATTTAAAAACCATTTTTAGGACATAAAGATGGTAACTTTATAAACTGGCAATGAACAAATATTTTCATTGACCAATTAGGTAACATCATTAGTGCTAGGGACTGTGGGTTTGCTTCCTCTTTATATGCAGCAGTTTGTCCTCCCACTGTTGATGGAGTTGTGGTTTTTTTCCTTAATAGTCCCTTGATTAGGGTTTTGTTTTTTTGTTTGATTGTTTAATCCCTGCTTCTCTAGATGAAACAGGTGGAGAGGATGCGGAGAGGATGTTTTTCAGTCTTTTACATTTTTAAAAAAGTTTTTTTATTATCTTTCTGAATGGTCTGGAAATGTGGTTTATCTTGATTTCTCTATTGATGGCTGATGCTGAAAATCTCTCTAAGAGGGTACAGGAACCATTGAGGATCTAAATTCACATTTATAAATACCTGTAGACAATAACAGCACCTTTCAAAATGCAATATCATTTTGTGTTCTATGGTATCATTATGGAGTCGCTATGTTCTGTAGTATCATTAACTCGTCCTCTTGAGGCTTAGCCTTGTTGAAGAGGTTTTTCTATTTTGCAGCATGTTCCTGATGCCTTTTTCTTATGATATGGCTGCATCAATCACGTCATCACAGTAGTATGGTGTTATTCCTCAATGAACGGAATGGCCTGTCTGCACTCAACACATTTTGAACAATAATTCTCTCTTCCAAAACTTTAGAATGGATTGAAGAAAATGAAATAGCTTCATAATGTTTGGCAGAGCTAAGAGTTTAAGAGTTTAAACAAGTCTAGGATTATTCTGTATTAGAACTTAAAGTACTGAAATGTTATCAAATATAGTCTTTATGTTTCCAGTCAATGGTGCTTCATATTAGATATGGAAAATTCTGGAATCAGGCTCATCTGTCTTTAGAGTCTTTAGAGCTAGTCAATAAATTATTTATAAATATCAATTTTCCTACCTTCCTCTCTCAATACCTTTACCAGATGGAAATATTCACACCAGATGGCATGTATCTTAATACAGATCTCTTTTAAATTGCAATTCACTTGTTTATTTGTATCTGTGCTTTATCTGAGAATGAAACTGTACACCATATCTAAATCTAAACAATTAGATGAAAGGTATGTTTTTATTTTTTAGTAACACTTAGTTTTCTCTCTATGTATAACATACTAAATCCATAAAAATCATTATTTACTTTTGTCTTTGTTCTCACTGTATTTTCTAAGTAAAATGATTATATTCATCAAGAAAGTAACTTTTTTTTTATGAAACAGGCACCACAAAGCAATTCCACAACACAGAAGAATGATAATCCTTTTCCAGCTGATACTTTATCTCTGGCCAACCAACAGTGCTATAGATGAGAGACTTTCAAAGCCCAACATCATCTTGTTCATGGTTGATGACCTTGGCATTGGAGATTTGGGATGCTATGGAAATACAAGTCTAAGGTTTTATATCATTCTTAGTGATTTATCTGTGTTATTTATTTAAATAGATAATCTACAACACTCTAGTTATTTTGTTTGATGCATGCCAGTGCCCACAAATATCTCTACTGCACAGTGAAATTGCTATGTTTAAAACTATAGAAAGTGAAAATCACAATAACATAACCAATGAGTAGTTGATGTTGCTTTTTGAAATTTCAATATTTGAGAGAAAATAGAACTATCTATTACAAGCTCAATTTATTAAACTGTGGTTTGTGAAATATATTAAATATGTTACAAATACATGTTAAATGTATTAGAAATAAATTCATTGTGGTAAAAATGGTAAAAGGAAACTATTCAATTCATTATAATATTTCTGAGGCGAAACAGAGGAATGGGAAAGAAAGAAAGAAAGAAAGAGTTAGAAATTCTGTTTATATAGCCCTACAGAACAAAGTGCACAGTCACCATGGACCTTTACTGCTTAACTGTTTAACAGTAGCAAGAAAGTCAGAACAAAAAGACACTGTATATACTGTACATAGATGATACCTAGCAAATTTACAAACACTGCCATCTACTGGCTGAATAGTTGTTGCAAATTATACATTCCAACAATGTATTCCAACACCCCCACTCAACAACTATTCCTTATATTAGTCCCATTTTGGACGTTAGTTCTATAAATTTGTTTCTTTTGCTTCTTCTTGTCCTTCTTCCTCTTCTTACTGTCCTGGCTATCCACAGAGCTGGAGCTGTTGCTACAGCTTCAGTCTTGGCTCTCTGATGGACTGACACTGCAGCTGCTGGGGCTCTGGCTCAGCTGCTGGGGCTCTGGCTCAGCTGGGCCAGGGGACCAGGGTGGTAACTGCAGCCTCTTTTGGCTTCTCCTTTCCAAATCTGGGTTTTAATGCTACACAAGCAACATAGGAGAGATATTTGGCTGGGATGCCTTTATTGCTTCTGGTGGCTTTCCTGATTGAAACCTCTTATGGCCTGATTTCTTCTTTTAGAACGTTTGGGTAGTCTGTGTTAATTTCTATTTCCATTTCATTTTGTTTCTTATCTTCATGTGACACTGATGTGGAATTTCCCTCAGCTTGCAGCGTTTATGTTACTTCATGAAATTTTGAACACACTGAAGTTTCATCAACAATTACATTTCTACTGATGATTATCTTGTTTGCGTTTTGGTGTAGAATTCTGTACCCTTTTGAGGTTCACAGTACACCTTCCTTTGCGCAAGCATCCCCATTTAATATGCTTTTGTTTTGGAATGTGCACAAAGACTGCTTCCAAAATTTTTATATGCCTTAAATTTGGGGGTTTTCCATTACACAGTTCATATGGAGTTTTCTCAGTTGATTTTCCTGGTAGTCAATTTTTGAGATAGCATGCAGTCATAATTGCATCCCCCCCATATGTAGTTGGCATATTTCCCTCAAACAGCATGGTTCTTTCTCTCTCACATAGAGTAATGTTCATTCTTTCTGCAACTCCATGTTGTTCTGGACTGAATGGTACAGTAATCTGAAATACTATGCCATGCTTTCTGAGAATCTGTGTGTTCTCACCTGTATACTCAATTCAGTTGTCTGTGAGGCACTCGGCATTTTGCCAAATTTGTTGTTTAGTATGTTTCCTTGACCTAAATACTGTTTAAGTTTCTTTGGTACTTCACTTTTCTTGTGTAACAGGTATAGTGTAGTATACCTGGAATAATCGCCTATAAAAGTGAGAAAATAATTCTTCTGTTTTCATTGGCCTTCAAAGATCTGGTTGCATTAAGTCCAGATGGGTTTTGTTTTTTAGCACTGCTATTACTCTGCTTTGGAAAGGCTTTGCTTGTCATTTTTTGTTTTGTACAGCTGATGCATTTCATTAATTGATCACATTGAATAAAAATTAATTATTTATATCCATTTGCATAGTCTTTCTCAGTTAATTTCTTTATTATGTCAGGACTTCTATATCCAAGTTGTCTGTGCCATATGTAAATGCAGTTTGAATGTTTTTTTTTCCTTTGGCAGTATTAACCATCTGATAGTTCAGCTGATACAGTTCATTTGTAATTTTAGCTTTGGCTTTTGTGATAAGACAACTGTCCCCTTTGAAGTGGGGACATAGCCTTGTTTTCTTTACTGACAAACGATTAGTTTTAAGAGCAGGGATATACATTATATTTTTCACAAGTGTCTTTCAGGTGACACTCTGAAAAATAAGACAGTAAAGAAAACCATCTCCTATTTCTTCTGAATCAATTATTTACCCATTAGCTGTAGTGATTTTTTCTGTTTTATTCTGGCCAAGGTGAATAAAGAAATTTCTGTTATTTGTCATGTGACTCATAGCTCCTGAATCAATAAATAATTCTTGCAAAGATGAGGTGCAACTTTTGGATTGAAAAACATATCCGTTATCTGAAACAAAATCAGTTTTTTTCTTTCACATATTTGGCCTTTTGTAGTGTTGGAAGAAATATCCTTCTGGGTTCAGTTCCAAGTGGGGAAAAAGACACTGGAAACATGGAACTTCTAGGAAAGATGGTTTATTGATGAACAGGATGGGTTCCTGTGCAGAAAAGGGCAGAGTTGCTGAGAATGCCTGGGTTTTATGCTCTGTTGGGCTTTGAATTTGAGTTTGTGTTCTGATTGGTTGTCAGACTCTCATGGGGCCATGCAGGGGTAACTCTGTAGGTTGTCTTTTGAGTCCCAGGCTTGGTTGACTCTTGCTGGGTGATGATGTAATGAAAGGGCTTTTGGCAATTTCTATTATGGCTCTGCCTGAAGGAGGTAGATCTTTGTTATGTAGAATAGATTGTCTCGGGCCTTAATGGCTCATTAACAAAGGTGTGGGGGGAGGGTTGCTCAGTTTCTGCTTCTCTTTTAGGGGGAATATTCTGCCTTTTTAGTATATCCTAAAATATTTCATTTTTCTAAGAGAGGGGTGGGTTTTAACTTCCAACAGTAGTTTATACATTCTAGGTTTCCAGATTCTGCAATCTGCTTTTAAATAAAGCCTTTTCTTGCACATAAAGCATTCACATGTATCTTGATTCATGTAACTGTTTTATTTATATTTTTCATCTTTAAAGCAGACTCTGTGGGGCCATGCTTTCTGTTTTACACTTATATTCATCTGTAAGCTTGCCCATAACATATTCCAATGCATGTCTAGGTGACAAACTGTCTGTACACTTTGTTCTGTACTGCTATATATAAACAGAATTTCTAACAGGAAGGAAGGAAGGAAGGAAGGAAGGAAGGAAGGAAGGAAGGAAGGAAGGAAGGAAGGAAGGAAGGAAGGAAGGAAGGAAGGAAGGAAGGAAGGAAGGAAGGAAAAAAGAAATCATCTTTTCAGTGTGACTTATGGTGACATTTTCAAGCAATAGAATTATATTTATAATAAATCTCAGAAATCAGTTCCTCATCCATAAATAAATGGGCTTCATATAATTAAAATAAATTAAAAAATAAAAGGAAAAATCTAGTATACATTACAGTGTTAGTTGAAAATAGATATAGCTGTAATCTCAAAATTGCATGAAGGAAACTGTTAAACAATATTATAGTGAATCTGGCTAACTGTAATTAGAAGGACTGATTCTCCAGGAATGAAAACAAGAGTTTTAAAACAACTTTTAAAATATATGATATATTTTAAATCTTAGGGAGGCTTATGTATCTTAAGACATCTTCAATGTCTATAGAGAGTCTCAGTCATCCAGATCATGATTGTTCCAAAGCTGCTTTTTCAAGAGGCAACTGGACTTTCTGGTTTTTCTTTGAATTCAAAGAAAAATCAGAAAGTCCAGTTGCCTCTTGAAAAAGCACCTTAGGAACTTAAAACATCTTCTGTAGGTATAGAAATACTAAGTATGTACTGAATAACACATATGTTTTGGTAATTAAGAAGTGAAAAAATATGGATTGCTGATTTTTTTAAATGTAAAAACCAAAATTTGGCTTCTTATATGTAGAATCAAAAGTTAATAATCATGTTTGGCACAATACTTTAAACATTCCCTACTTGAGTGCTCTTTGTATTGGGATCTGAGGTTCAGAACTCTTTTCAATTTTTTTTCTCAGATGGTGCTAAATTTCAAATTTCATAATTTACTTTTCATCATGGTCAAAATATTACAAGAATTGAATTCTTGCACAACTAAAAATCACTATATTTACAACTGTGATTTGAAACACTATTCATTAAAAGTAAGATCCCGGGCAAAACATTTCATGGATTCACAGTTCAAATAACAGAGTCTTCATGCTGTATTTTGAACATATTGAACTTTTCCAGTTTTCAAAGACAGCTCAATATAATCTAACCTGGAATTATATATCCATCCATCCATACATCCCACTTGTATATTGTATGACTCTCTTTCTGGCATTAATTATAATCTGTGTAAATATAATATTCCTTAGTTTATGACATATTTTCCCAGTATTACCCGTGTTTCCCCCAAAATAACACTCAGTCTTATATTTTGGGGAGGTTGGGGTTCAAAATAAACACTGGGGTTCATTTTTGAGGAATATCTTTTTTTCCCCCCCATTTACTGGAGGCCCACTTTTTCTGCCTGCTTGTGGCGCAACAGGGCAGGAGATTGCATGGTGCACCAGTGCCGCCACCACATGGCAAGGGAGGATAGAGCTGCCCCACATGCCCTGCACCAGCTTACCTCAGGGCCCTACAGCCAGGCCAGCCAGGCCCTGACACCTGCCTTAGTTTGCAGCAGCGGCTCTGACATCCCCATCCATCAGGACCCCACAGGGCTGCCAGCTCACTTCTGCTTGCTTGCAGCCACAACAAAGCAGGCAAGCTAAGAGACGGTGGGATGGAGTAGACAGGTGGCTGTGGGAGGCTTATCTTCATGTCTCTCACTTTTCCTGCAGCCTCACAGTAGCTTCCCCCTGCACCTCTGCCTCCATCTGCTGCCGATGCCACCATGCAAAGACAAGCCTCCACAGTTGTCTGCCCACTCCAGCCCACTGACTCTCAGCTTTCCGTCTCCTTCGCAGCACATCCAGATCAGGTGTCTCCCCCCGCCTCTTGGAGAGGTAATCAATTCACCTGCACTGTGCAGGCTGCAGTGGCTGCCAGATGCCATCAGCCCCCATGCCCTCACATCCTCCAGTGCTGGCCATGCCTCCCCACTGATGATGACCTTATCTAGGGCTTATCAAGGGTTAATATTGGGGGTATGTCTTATATTAGGAGCACGCTGAATCAAGCTGGGCTTATTTTTTTTGGATAGGTCTTATTTTTGGGAAAACAGGGTATATATGTATAATATAACTTCACAATTCTCCGGAATTTAATCACAGATTAAAATCGTGCTAGGAAATTCACTGTATGAGTATATGACCAATAGATGTTTAAAAATATGTATTACTTCAGTAGTTTATGTTTCTAATGCAGACACACATCTACAATCACCTATATTAAACCAATGTTTTTAATATAAATCCACAGGATTTTAATTTACTAATTAAATGATTAAAATATACAGTATCTAAGGTTTCCACATTAGGCAAAGTTTAAAAGCCTCATAGACAACCTTTGTTATCCTCGACTATGCATCCAGGTAATACTTATTTCTAATGCAGCCTATTCAGTCTACATATGTTTGATCTTGAATAATTTGTTTAAACATTAATTTATTTAAAAAATTAATGCTACAATGTTATATAGTTACCTTGACTTTGATCAGTTTGAACTAATTTATCCTTAAGAGATATTATATTGTCACATTTTGATTTGCAATATTTATTTAGCATTTGGTTCAGTTGAGGTTTTTTTCTTGTTGCATAAAGTTTTGCATATAAAGGAACAAAAAAATTTAAAGGATGTAAAATCAGTAAAGATAAGATCATGTGATTGTGCTCCAGAAAGGACCCCTTTTTTTAAAAAAAAAAAAAATCATGCAGCAGCATGCAAGTTCCAATAACTAGACTGTTATTATTTTCTTTTAAAAATAACTATTTTATTCATTTGTTATACATTGTTGTTGAATTTTCATGCTTTTTCATCCATGTTTTATTTTATTTACTTATTTAAAAAGAATGTTTTCATAAATAAGGCTGAAAAGACTATCCATTTGTTATCAATGCGCTTAACTATTTTCAAATAAATAAACTGCTTTGATGTTTAATGTTATTCACATAAATAAAGAGGAAATAACTCTTATTAAGCTCTCTGTATATATGTTTTTTCTCTTCAGTTTGTATTTGATAGGGTTGTAGCAGAGGTAGAAAAAGAAAAAAATTAATATGCTGATGTTTTTAAGTTGCCTGAATTCAAACTTTATGTTCTGTCAATGCACGTTTTTCTTTCAGGACTCCCAATATTGACAATTTAGCTAATGGAGGCATAAAACTAACTCATCATGTAGCAGCTTCCCCATTATGTACACCAAGTAGGGCAGCTTTCTTGACAGGCCGATATCCTATCAGATCAGGTAACTAAAGTGTTTATATATTTACTTTTAAATATGAAAAATATTGTATTGTTTTAATTTACAGTTTGTGTGTGAATGTGGACTCCTCAAAGAAAATACATTGTATGTCATATTTATCACTTATTTAGTGAGATTGCTGGCTCCTCTAATTATTACATGAGACAGGTGCTCTATTCTGCATCTGAAAGTTTTGGAACCAAGGAGTGTTAGTGTGAAACAATACAAGAACACACAATAGATACAAACTCAAGGTTAACCGCACCAAACTTGACTGCAGAAAATACGACTTCAGCAACAGAGTGGTCAGTGTTTGGAATACTCTACCTGACTCTGTGGTTTCTTCCCCAAACCCCAAAAACTTTAACCTTAGACTGTCTACTATTGACCTCATTCCTTTCCTAAGAGGTCTGTAGGGGGTGTGCATAAGCGCACCAATGTGCCTACCGTCCCTGTCCTATTATTTCTTTTATTTTTCTTGTATGTATCCATGTATTCATAACTATGTTTTTACTTATACCTATTATCTTGTAAGCAATTGACAAACCAAATAAATACTAAAAAATAAATACTAAATACTTCCTTTAATATGCTGATATTACAAGACTGAATATTTCTCTTTGTGAGAATAATATACATATACAGTACATGTAGCACTTCCACTAGAAATAGAGTTGGAAGGGACCTTGGAGGTTTTCTGGTCCATACCCCTGTTCAAGTAGGAGACCCTATACCATTTCAGACAAATGGCTGTCCAATCTTTTCTTTAAAAACCCCCAGTGACGGAACACCCCACAAGCCATTCCACTGATTAATTGTTCTAACTGTCAGAAAATTTCTCCTTATTTCTAAGTTGGTTGTCCTCTTTATTAGTTTTCATCCATTGCTTCTTATTCTGCCTTTTTCTTTGTGGCAGCCTCTCAAATGTTAGAACACTGTTATCATGTCACCCGTAGCCATTTATTTATTTATTTATTTATTTATTTATTTATTTACTTATTTACTTATTTATTTATTTAGTCGAGTGATTATTAGATAACAGGTATAAGTATAAACATAGTTATTAATACATGAAATGGATACGAATAAGAAAAAAAACACTAGGACAGGGATGGTAGGCACATTGATGTACTTATGCACACCCCTTACAGACCTCTTAGGAAAGGGGTGAGGTCAATAGTAGACAGTCTAAGACAGTCTAAGTTTTTGGGTTTGGGGAAGAAACCACAGAGTCAGGTAAAGTATTCCAGGCATTGACCACTCTGTTGTTGAAGTCGTATTTCCTTCAATCAAGTTTGGTGCGATTAACCTTGAGGTTGTATCTATTGTGTGCTCTTGTATTGTTTTGGTTGCAGCTAAGGTATTCATTGACAGGTAGGACATTGCAATATATAATTTTATGTACTATACTTAGATTGAACCGAAGGCAGCGTAGTTCTAGGTTGTCTAGATCAAAAATTTCAAGTCTGGTTGAATAAGGTATTCTGCAATGATTAGAGGAGTGAAGAACTCTTCTTGTGAAATATTTCTGGACTTTCTCAACTGTGTTAATATCAGATATGTAATGTGGGTTCCAGACTGAAGAGCTGTATTCAAGTATTGGTCTGGCAAATGTTTTGTATGCTCTAGTTAGTAGAGTGATATTACTGGAGAAAAAGCTACGTAAGATTAGGTTAACAACTCTTAATGCCTTATTGGCTATGTAGTTACAGTGGGCTCTAGCACTTAGGTCATTTGAGATGAGTACTCCAAGGTTCTTGACAGAGTTTGGATCATCAACAAGGTTTTGACTATTCAGCTTGTATTTTATTTCCTGATTTTTTTTGCCAATATGTAAGACAGAGCATTTATTTGTTGAGATTTGAAGTTGCCATTTGTTTGACCATTCTGATACATAGTCAAGGTCTTTTTGAAGGGTAGCAGTATTGTCTGTGGTGTTGAACAGCTTTACATCATCAGTGAAGAGAACGCAGTTGCTCTTAATATGATCACAGAGGTCATTTATGTAGAGTATGAAGAGAGTTGGTCCTAGAACACTGCCTTTGGGGGACACCACTGTTGACAGGTACAGGATTTGATAGGACGCTCCCAATTTTGACCATTTGTTGTCTGTTTGACAGGAATGCTTCTATCCAGTTATGCAGTTGTCCAGAGATACCATAAGATTTTAGTTTTAGGAGTAGTTTGTCGTGTACCACTGAATCAAAGGCTTTACAAAAGTCTATGTAGATTGTGTCTATTGCTTTGCCCTGATTGAGTTGTGTAGTCCATATGTTTTTGCAGTGTAAGAGTTGCAGATTGCAGGATTTGAGATGAGTACTCCAAGGTCCTTGACAAAGTTTGTGTCATCAACAAGGTCTTGACTATTCAGCTTGTATTTTATTTTCTGATTTATTTTCATTAGACTAGAATACCCAATTCCTGCAGCTGCAACCCTCAGGTCTCCTAATCATTTTATGTGCACTTATTCTAGATTCTCAGCATCTTTTTATATCATGGCAACCAAAATTGGATACAATATTCCAAGTGTGGTCTTACCAAGGCATTATAAAGCAGTATTAATGCATCATGTGAACTTGATTCTATCCCACTGTAAATGCAGCATAGGACTGTGTTGGCTCTTTTGGTGGCTGCAGCACACTACGGGCTGATATTTAAGTGGTTGTCCACTAAGATTCCTAGATCCCTCTTGCAGTTACTATTGAACCAGGTACCACCTATTCTATACCTGTGCATTTTCTTACTTAAATGTAAACCTTACTTTTATCACATTGAATTTAATTTTGTAAGATAGGGCACCACTTTCAAGTCTTTTGAGATCCGTTTGGATCCTAAGTCTATCTTCTGAGCTGTTGGCTATTCCTGCCAGCTTGGTGTTGTCTGCAAATTTGATGGGTTCCCTTTTTATCCTCTCGTCTAAATCATTGATGAGGATGTTGAAGAGTAGTAGGCCTAAGACAGAACCTTGGATACCCTGCTTTATACTTCTCTCCATGTAAATATAGTTCTATTGAGGACTAAATGTTGCATGCAGTTTGTCAGCCACTTATGAATCCATCTGGTGGTGATGCTGTCTATCCCATATTTGTCTATGTTACCAAGAAATAGTTTGTAGACTTGCAAACTGACAAAGAGAAAGCCTGCATTAATGCAGCAGGGATTTGCTGATTATGTGCCATCAAGTTATTTTTTATTCCTAACAACCACATAAATAGATTTTTCTCGATGACCATCTGTTCCTAATCTGTTGTTTCATTTTTCCCAACAATGCACTCATTGTCACTTTCATTGAGTTCATCCACCTTGCTGTTGGTTATCTTTTTCTCTTTCCTTACAAGCTATTTACAGAATTTAGAGAACAAACAATTTAGAAGTATCTTATTTGCATTAATGCTCTTAACGAACACCTCTTTTTAATGTTTTGCAGTTTTATGTGGTATATCGTGTTATCATATGTATAGAATAACCCTTCAGTAACAAGGATATGCACATGGAAACATTTATGAGAGTAGTTATGAATAATTATTCAGCCACACACAGATACACTAAATTGAGTTAAAGTTTACTTTAAGAAATAGCACAGTCCAATAAACAGGCCAGGTCATATACATTTTACAGTCCAAAGAATATCCAATTACAAAGTCTTCTTACCGGTTGCCTTTGTCATTTACAGTAAACAAAAATATCAAAGTATAAGCACAGCATAAATACAACAGAGAACCTTAGATAGCAACAGAATGTTAGAGAGAGCAAGCTATGATCTCTAGCTCCCTCTTATGGTAATTTGCAATATAATCAACCAATCAGAATATAGTATAAATCAATACAAGTGATTTTTTCTTAAAGCTACAAACATACATTGTTGGTTTATATATTGTCAACCCAACTAATTGGTGGACAGATTCCTAACATATGGTAAAAAAGAAATATGGGTGTAGGTAAAATCACATTTTTCTCGCAGATAATAATGATTTCATTTCAACTGCAGTTGCATGAAAAAGCTAACCCCTCTCCCAATCAAATTGTATATTTCAGTAAATCCCTAGACAAACAGATTTATTAAATTTAAAGCTTTAAATTATAATTTATCAAACAACTGATTTAATACCAGTAATCAAACAATAGACTGACTCAGCAATCTTGATTATTTACTTGAGCAGGAGGGTAATGAATACATTGCATATCACAAGCAACCCAAGACAATTGCACAAAAACAATTTTCATCAGAGTACCTAGAAGAATCTTACCAGAAAGATAATGAGAATAAATGCATCTTTAGGGCTTTTTTGAATGGATGGCCTGACCAGCCTATCACACTTCCGTGACAAAAGTTACCCAAATATGTTGCCACCACTTACTGTCTTGATCCACTAATCTGATGGATCTCACAAACAGAAAAATAAAAGGATCAGCAGGGATCAGCACTTAAACCTAATTCATAACACAGCTGCTTCTATACCACATCCCCATTCATACAAGGGAAGGGAACTTTTTCCATTGAGGCTTTGATATAATGAGAAAAGTTGAGAAGTAGAATAAAAATCAACCAGTTAAGGCATTCAGAATACGATATTTGCAGGCTGTACCAAACATCAGGTCCCAAAGGCCATTCATAATCTTTTTTTCCTCCAATGAAAATTTTACTATGTTTGGGAATGTTCAGGGTTGAAAGTATTCTAAAATCCTTGCTATGCAGATTTTCCCATCTTGCTAGCTATTTTTCTTCTTTTTAAATGTGCCACTGATTGGAAAATGAGAGCTACATTGTTGCATTGCTTCAAAAGGTTAACAGTAGTAAACATCTAGAGCAACACTTGAATATCATTGGCATTGACATAATCATGGTCAATTGCAAAAAGCAGTTTTATTTGGGACAGTTTAAATACTGTGACAATGCCTTTAATGAATAGAATAGAACATTTTTTATTGTCAAGTGTGATTGAACACACAAGGAATTTATCTCCCGTGCATAAGCTCTCAGTGTACATACAAACAATGAAGTAATATAATCATAAGATACTAATAATAGAAGGTAATAGGAAAGATGAGAAGGAAGGTATTAAATAATAACATCTGCCTATCTCAGGTCTCTGCCAAGGACTCAGTAGGTGAATGAAAATGCCACATACAGTATAACATCTGGCTGGCTTTGTGGCTAATCATCATAATAATGGAATGGTGGTAAAATATACATGTAAGCATGTTGTCCAGCCCTATCAGGCTTTAATCACCCTTTTTCTGCCCATATCCTCTTTTTTAAGTAAAGCTCATAATGCTATGGATCACAGAATCTGCTCCTCAATCACCAAAAGATGCTCAATCATTCTTTACAAGAATATCTGGATATGGGTGAACATCTTTTTGCTCTCATCCTAACAAAAATGGCCAAGCTCCAGTATTATATCAATATGCTACCTGTTTTTCATAAATAATCTGATAAAATGTTCTTCTACTGTTGCTTTGCATATATATCCTTTTAATAAAAATGACTTATTTTATATTCAAATGTTTAATTTTGTTAGGAATGGCAAGTCTGAATCGGGTTGGAGTCTTCATATTTTCAGCCTCTTCAGGGGGTCTGCCTGCTGAAGAAATAACATTTGCAAAGCTGCTTCAACAGGAAGGTTATTCTACAGGTCTTATAGGTAACAGTGATCGGTATAGGTGCATGTTTTTCACGGTGTTTCACTTTAAATAAGTGTGCTTCAGAGGTGGTATTCAACCTGTTTGCACCTGCTTGGGCAAACCGGTAGCGGTGATTTGGTGTGGGTCGTCGAACCGGTGGCAACCCCTGGCTGGCCACACCCCCAACCCAGTTGCCCAGTCGCTCATTTGCCCCAGTCGCTCTCCAAGCTTTCCCTACCATGTGGTGGCTGGGCACAGCTCGGGTGGATATCCCACAGCTGCTGCACATGTGCACTGTGTGTGCAGCCACTACATTTGCAGTGCGCATATGCAGCGGCCCTGGGACATCCGCCCACCTGCCCACCCGCCCGGAGCATGCTTCTCCTGGCAGACGCACCTCTTCCATACCGGCCTGGCCTGGCACAGCCAGCCAGTAGGTGGCCACATGTCCAGCCATCCCTTTTGAAGCACCAGAAGCCTCTCCCAACTGGCCAACTACTCTCTTCCTCCTCAGCCATATAGAACAAACAGGCAGAGAAGGAAGGAAGCAGCCGTCTGTCCGGTTGCGCTGAAAAAGGGGTGGCTGGGACCGAAAAAAAGTAGTTTCCAGCCACCTCTTTCGGAGTGCTGTACCAGCAGGCTCAATGGGGTGAACCTGCATGGCCAGTGGCTAGGATGCAGCGGCGGCGGCAGGTTGGAGAAGTGCAGCAAAGCCTGTTGAAGAAGCCTATAGCCACTGCATGTTTTTTTCAGTGTGTAAGGTAAGGTTTCAGGCAGTCGAGAAAGCTGCCTAGCCCAGAGCTGCTGGGGGGGGGGGGTGAGGCTGCAGCACATGCCTCGCTTGAATTTCCCAGCTCCAAAAGCGGGAGGGGAGGAAGGCTTTTTCAGGCAATGGAGGACAGGAGACTGGCTGGGATGAACCCTTGTAATGATTGATTCTGCGGGGCACTTGGAAGTCTGTGTGTGTTTCAGATGGATCTCCCTTCTTAGAGGGAAAGGAGAGAGAAAAAGAGGAAGAGAGAGGGAAAGAGAGAGAGAGAGAAAGAGAGAAAGAGAGAGGGAGGGAGAGAGGGAAAGAGAGAAAGAGGGAGAGAGAAAGAGAAGAGAGAGAAGAGAAAAGAAAGAAAAGGGAAAGAAAGAAAGAAAAAGAGAGAAAGGAAGAAAAGGGATAGACAAAGAAAAATGGAATGGAAGGAAGGGAGAGAAATAAATAAATAAGGAAAGAAAGAAAGAAAGAAAGAAAGAAAGAAAGAAAGAAAGAAAGAAAGAAAGAAAGAAAGAAAGAAAGAAAGAAAGAAAGAAAG